GATTTCTCATGGGTTCTGCTTACAGATGCTGAAGTCATAAAGAAAGGTAAAGGAGGTGAAAGTTAGTTTATGGCAGCAAACAGGAGTGGCATGTTGAATAAGATGACAGTTGGGTTGTTTTTGTTGTTGGTTGTTGTTTTTAAGAGAGGAAAAGAAGCGGTCCTACAAATACTTATGGTGCCTGCCTGCCTGCCCACAATCCCTGCTAGATGCATAGTTTATGGATCTAGGGGTGGGATCTGATCTATGGCAGCCAATCTGTGGACAGAACAGTGACCTGGCCAATGAACTGTTGTCAATAAAAGATGGACTGGGTCAATCAGATTCAGTTTTGGGAGTCTGAATTATGAAACACTAAAGAAGTTGTCTGCTAGTAGAAACTGCAAAGACAGTAAGAGGGCAAAGGTCACCAGGATGCCCCCCCCCCCCCAGTAAGTTAAAACATTGAGGGAATAAGGTTATAAGCAAGCTGAGGGAGCCAGATAGTGGGGGCATAAAGTAGCAGAGGCAAAAAGGAAGCAGAAACAGGGGCCCTATGGTAGAGATGGACTCCATGTCCCTGACTTCTGTGGGGGTCCCCAGGTCCTCTTACTATAACTGCGTTCAAAAGTTTCGGTTCTAGTCTCTCCTCCTCCCCCTTCTTTTTCTTTTTGTAGTAGTGGGGATTGAATCAAGGGCCTTCACACTGAGCTACATCCCCAACACTTTTTTAGACAAGGTCTTGCTAAATTACTCAGGCTGAGTTCAAACTTGTGATCCTTCTGCTTCAGACTGCTGTCTGGTGAGATTACGTTTGTGCACCACCACTCTTGGCCTTTCAAAGGTTTCCGAGCAGGGAGGCAATGTGATCAGACCTGGGCTTATAACTAAAGTCCCTGATTCCAGATTACAGAAGATGGAACTCATTAGCCATGTGATCTTGGGCAATTTACTTAGCCCTTTTTGTCAGTTCCTTCACCTGTGAAATGGGAATGATAGCACTGTGTGAGGATTCAATGAGAAAGTACAGATTGAAAAGGGCTTCCTCTGTTTCTTATTTTCTTAGTTGTCAATTATTTCAGAAAGCTTTCCTTCATGACTATATCCTGTGTCTTCTCAGAGGTAACCACCATCTCCCGGTCCTCTTCTTTGTCCCTGGGGCACTCCTTCTGGCTCCTGGCTGGTTCCTCTTAATCTTGATTTCTTCTCTCCATATTCATCTCCCACTGAGCTCATCAAGATGTCTTGTGCTTTTAAATAGCTTTACATGGCATCTTCTAGCTGATGGTTCTGCTAAGTTTATCTGTCCAGCTCCAACTTCTTCCCTGACTCCAGACTTCCATATCCAATTACTTACCTGACATCTCCATTGAAGTCTCCAACAGGCACCTCAAACATAATTTGCCCCAGATGGACTCTTAACTTTCTCTCCCCTCAAACTCCCCGCTCCTGTTAGTCTTATCTAGTTCATTAAATAGAAAATCCTTCTGGTGTCAACCAAGTGAAAAATCTTAACACCAACCTGGCCTCCTTCCTAGTTCTTACCTCCTACCACCAACACACCAGCAAACGCCTACAATACCATCACTTCTTGCCCCTTCCAATGCTATTGCTCTGGTCTAAGCCACCTTCATCTCTCAGTTACCAGCTTCCTTGTTCCTTTGAGCCCCTGTTAGAAATAGTCAGTGTTGTTATTTATTTATTTTTGCAGTGCTGGGCCTTGTGCATGCTAAGCAAATGCCCCATGACCAAGCCGAACCCTCTGCCCTGTTTATTTTTTGGTAGTACTAGGGTTCAAATCCAGGACCTAGCATATACAAAGTGCACATTCTACCACTGAGCTACATCCCTTGGTTGTAAAGTGCTCTACAGGAAGCATCCTATCAGTGCTTTCAAAATAAAAATGCCTAGACTACCGAAATAGCATTCTAAGGCTTTAGTCCCCCTATAGCCTGTTCAGAAGAGAGCAGGACATGGTCCATCCAGAGCCTAGGTCAGAGCTCATCACAGCTCTGTCTTTCAGCACCTGAGCTGCTTACTTAACCTAGGCTGGCTGCACTGGTCTCCTAGCTGTCCATGGACACACCAGGGGTCTAGCCCCTTTGAAGTCTTTGCCCTTGCTGTTTTGTGTGCCTCTGTTGTCACGTGGCCTGCTGTGCTCTTCCCTTCCACTGTCTGACTGGATGTTACTTCCTAAGTTAGGCTCTTCATGACCACCCTTTAAAACATGGCCACACTTTGCTAGCTTGCCCACTGCTCCCTCACTCGGACTTTTCTCACCGTCTCCGAGCACCTAGAGACTATCTTTACTTGGTAGCTGATTTTCTCCTGGCAAGTGTCCAAGATTTACACAGGGCTAGGGGTACAGCTCAGTAGTAGAGCACTTGCCTAGCATGCACGAGGCCCCATGTTCAATCCCCAGCACCCTCTTCTCACCGCCCCCCCCCACCGGAAAAACCCAGCTCCAAGCCAGCATGACCTGTTTGCTCGTGGCTGCTGGCACACGGGTGCAATAAACACGAACTGAACAGGGACTCCCTAAAGCCCCTTTCCTTCTCCAAATGGTCTATACCATTTTTGTGGGTCTTACTTGTATGTTGTATGTACATGAGGGCTTTTATTCAACTATGACCTCAGTGGCCTAGTAGAGGGGCTGGTTTGTGCAGAGAACTGCAGATAGAAAGAGACAGACACAGACAGAATTTCTGAGGCAGTATGTGGAGCAGCAAAGCAGTCTCGTATTAAGCAAAGGGGTCGATTCTCTGTAGCAAAGGTGAAAGTACGCACAACTGCTAGCATGTATTGAGCCCAATTTTCTAGTCCTTATTATTATTCATTATTATTATTACTTATTATTATTTTTTGTACCGGGAATCGAACTCACGACCTGGCGCTTGCTAGGCAACCACTGTGCCTCTGAACTATATCCCCGGCCCGAGCCCAATTTTCTAAGCACTTTACCTTTGTCATCGTCATTACTATCCTGGTGGTAACCAGGACAGGGATCTTTATGTCACCTGTCATCTTTTGGTGCCTAAAATGAGGCCTGGTACTCAGCAGGTGCTCAATAAAGGGGGTAGCCCAGGCTCTTGAATCCTGCAGACCAGACCGGGCTCAGGTGCAGTGATGTACTCCAAGTCCCTCCGTAGCAAGCAGCAACTCTGGAATTCCAAGTCAGGTTCCGCTCGCTGCGCGCTCTCTCTGGGCTGGGCTGGGCTGGGCTGGGCCGGCCTGGCCTGCGGTAGGCACCAGTTCCGGGTCCCCCGCGGGTGAGAGCGCATGCACCGGGTGGGGCTGGGAGGCACCGTCCCCTCCCAGCCCCTGTGCCTTCCGCATCCCTGCCCCGCAGCCCTTGGGTAGGGCGCGCACAGTCCCTCTGCCATCCGCGTTTTGCAGCTACGGGGCGGAAGCTCGGTGACAGACAGCACACTGGACTTCTTGGCCCAGGCCTGACTCAGGACCCCCTGCCCACACTCCAAGCCTCACGCCCCACGCCCCACGCTCCCCGGCCAACGCGCCCGCCCCGCCCAGCTCCTCAGGCCCCGCCCCGCTCTCCCGTCGGCGCTCCGCCCCGCGCGCCGCGCTCCATAC